GGAAGTGAAATAAATCATAGACGACACAAACAAATGGAAACGTATGCCATGCTCATGTGGTAAAGAAAGAACACTTATACACTGCTGATGAGAATGTAAATTAGTACAACTTTTATGGCAAGGATTATCTAGATTTCTCAAACAACTGAAAGTAGATCTACCATTTGATCCAGCAATTCCATTCCTAGGTATCTACCCAAAGAAAAAGAAGCCATTATATAAAAAAGAAATTTGCACATGTATATTTATTGCAGCACAATTCACAATTGTGAAGACATGGAACCAATGTAAGTGCCCATCAACTGATGAGTGGATAAATAAAATGTAATATATATATTCCCTAATTTATTCTATGAATATACTATACACACACACACACACACACACACACACACACACACACTAAGGAATACTACTCAATCATAAAAAAGAATGAAATCCTGTCAACACACTAAGGAATACTACTCAATCATAAAAAAGAATGATATAATGTAATTTGCAGCAACTTGGATGAAGCTGGAGGTCATTATTCTAAGTGAAGTAACTCAGTAACTCAGGAATGGAAAGCCAAATACACTATGTTCTCATTCATAAATGGGAACTAAGCTATGGGTATGCAAGGACATACAGAGTGGTATAATGGACACTTGAGACTCAGAGGGGGAGAAAGTTGGAGGAGGATTAAGGACAAAAAACTACATATTGGGTACAATGTACAGTACCTGGCTGACAGGTACACTAAAATCTCAGGCTTTCCCACTATATAATTCATCCATGTAACCCAAAACCACTTGTACCCCTATAGCTATGAAACTTTTTAAAAGAATCAAAAATGAAATTAAAAATTAAGAAAATGAAATAATTGCAATAGGCTTATGTCTATTAATGATATTGAATCAATAACTAATAACCTTCCAAAACAGAAATCACCAGGCCCTGGTGGGTTCACTGGTGAATTCCACAAAACATTTAAGGAAGAAATTATACAAATCCTGTACAATCTCTTTCAAATTATAGAAGCAGAAGAAATACTTCCTAACACATTCTATCAGGCTGGTATCACCCTAATACCAAAACCAGGCAAAGACACTACAAGATAAGAAAACCATAGATCAATATCTCTAATGAACATAGATGCAAAATGCCTCAACAAAATACTAGCAAATCAAATGCAACAATGTATACAAATATGTATACATCTCAATCAAGTGCAATTTAGTCCAGGTATGCAAGGCTGGTACAATATTAGAATATCAATTAATGTAATCCATACCATCAACAGGCTACAGAAAAAAAAATCACATGATCATATCATTAGATGCAAATAAAGCATCTGACAAAATCTAACACCTATTCATGTTTATGAAAAAATCTTAGAAAACCAGGAAATAAGGGGAACTTCCTGAACTTAATAAGAACATCTATTTTCAAAACCCAGTAACAAAAAAAAAAAAAAAAAAAAAAAAAAAAAAAAAAAACAACCAGCAACTAACATCATGTTTTATGGTAAGAAAATAGAATCTTTTCCATTAAAATCCAGAACAGGACAAGGATATCTCCTCTTGTCATCCTTTTCAATATCATACCGGATGTCCTAGCTAATGCAATGAGACAAGAAAATGAAATAACAGGAATACTGACTGGGAAGGATGAAATAACATTGTTTTTGTTTATCAATTACATGATAGTTTATGCAGAAAATCTGAAAGAATCAGCAAAAAGTTGGAACTAATAAACAATTATAACAGTTGAAGGACACAAGTTTAATATACAAAAGTCAATTACTTTTCTATAGGCAGCAATGAACAAGTAGAATTTGAAATTACTAACACAATCCCATTTACTTTAGCACCCCAGAAACGAAATACTTATGTGGAAATCTAACAAAATATGTACAAGATTTATATAAGGAAAACTACAAACTTCTGATGAAATCAAAGAACTACATAAATGGAAAGGTGTTCCATGTTCACGGACAGGAAGACCCAATATTATCAAGATGTCAGTTCTTCCCAATCTATAGATTCAACACAATCCCAATAAAAATCCCAGCAAATTACTTTGTGGATATCAAGAAACTGGTTCTAAAGATTGTATAGAGAGGAAAAATACCCAGAACATAACACAATATTGAAAAAGAACAATGTTGGAGGACTGACACTACCCAACTTCAAGACTTACTATAAAGCAACAATAAGACACTGTGATATTGATGAAACAATAAACAGATCAGCAGAAAAAATAGAGAGCCTAGAAATAGAAATAGACCTACATAAATAAAATCACCTTGTCTTTAAAATGAGGTGAGTGCAATACAATGGAGAAAATATCTTTTTTTTTTTTTTTTTTGAGACAGTCTTGCTCTGTCACCCAGGCTGGAATGTAGTGGTGCAATGTTGGCTCACTGCAACCTCCGCCTCCCAGGATCAAGCAATTCTCCTGCCTCAGCCTCCCCAGTAGCTGGGATTATAGGTGAGTGCTATCATGGCTGGCTAATTTTTGTAGTTTTAGTAGAGATGGGGTTTCATCATGTTGGCCAGGCTGGTCTAGAACTCCTGACCTCACGTGATCCCACTGGCCTCAGCCTCCCAAAGTGCTGGAAAGGATCATCATTTTTACAAATGGTTTTGGAATAACTGGACAGCCACATGCAAAAAAATAAATCTAGACACAGACCTTGTACTCTTCATAAAAATTGACTTAAAATGGATTACAGACCTCAATATAAAACACACAACTGTATAACTTCCAGAAGATAACATATGCAAAAATCCAGATAACCTTGGTTTGGTGATGGCTTTTTAGATGGAATGCAAAAGCAACAATCCATGAAAAAAAGAATTAATAAGCTGAACTTCATTAAAAAATATTGCTCTGGTAAAGACACTATCAAGAGGATAAAAAGGCCACACACGCTGAAGAAA